GCTCAGGAAAATTGGCTACCACTCCAGTGGATCTGGAAGACCTGAGTGCTCCAGCTAGCTAAAACTTACAGGAAGCTGCACTTCCTCTGAGTCATACAGCATCATTTTTCCACTTTGTTACTCTTGGAGGTGCATTAAGTGCCTAAATGGACTTTTCCTTGCCTGCTGCAAGGAAATTAAATTAAGGCCTCCTGCCTTCAGCCTCTGCAGGCTGAACAGTCCCGAGATGCTGACCTGCCTGTGAGGCACCAGCTCATCCTCGGGATGTGGTGTGATAAAATGGTTGTACTACTGACAGAGTGCATGCCCCACATAACAGTGAGCTGCTCTGTGTCAGGCGGAAGGCCTGGCCCTCTCACCACCTTGTCTCAAACTGCCTTTTCCTTGTCGCAAATGCTGGTACCCTTTGTCCCTCTTTGTGGCCGTACAATATCAGAGAGAAGAGTTGAGGGAAAGGATGGAGTGATGGTACGCTGGCTGCATGTAGTGGTGGTTAGGCTCCATGGTGGTGACAACTCTGATTGCAAATCTATCTTATTATAGTCCAAATACTTTTAGGAAGTCCTATTTTCTTTCCAAAGTGGGAGGGAGGGAAAAAAAAAAAAAAAAAGAACAAGGAAATCTTGAGGCTTTTTACAAAAGATATTACAAAAGACTTTTTGGTCAATCTTGTTAAAAGGCCAAGATCACATTATATAGATGCATGATACTTAGAAGTGGCTTTCCTTACTTTAATAGTTGGCTATTTGGAATAGCTTAGAGTTCAAACATACACGCAGTATTTTCTGAAGTCTTCATGGCTTTGCTTTCAATGGATAAGTAATATATTAAGCTCTGTTGAATCATCTTCCTTTCAATTTGTTTTCCAGATGATGAGGGTGCTGCAATTCTTCAGAAAGCAGAGGTAGAAATTATTGACCAAACGTTATGTCATTCCACATATGGAATTATCACAGCCAGAATGTTTTGTGCAGGATTAATGTCTGGAAGAAGAGATGGGTGCAAAGTATGTACTTCAATACAACTCACAAGTTTATTTTGTCTTTCTTTGTCGCATGATGAGGCATAAGAACTGACTGGCAAGTTGCCTTGTTTTACTGAAGCACAGCTATGTAAAAGAGCTATCAACCAGTCTGCAATTTGGGTATTCTCAGAGATTTGCTGCTTGATGGGCATGAATGACACTTCAGTTGCAAGCCTAGGTCCAGAGAATTTGCACATAGTAGTGTGGTGAAGGTAGGCAATTTCTGGCAAGAGGGTCTCTCAGCTGAAGAAGAAACTGAGAACCTACCTTGACTTTTTTTTCTGGATTCTTTTCTCTGGTGTATGACTACAGGGCAGTCAGATAAGATGCAGTCATCTAGATATAAACTTTCAAGTGCATAATATTTCTGGCAGTGCTGTAAAATAATAAGTGAAGTTCTGAATTTTCATTTGTTTTAGCAGGTGAAATTGCTGGTTTTTATGATGATGATTTGGTACCTTCAAGATATTCTAGATTTCACTATATAGAAGTAAGACACCATAGTGGCTTTTGTGGCAAGAAGTGTCTGAGGGTTTTCTGTGGAATATGAAGTAACAGCTGTTTGCTAGCAGGTTGTGAGATCACTGATGTCAAACATCATTTTCATTAACTGGAGAATTTGTTTCTTTGCTTATCTCTCTGGCCAATCAAGACAGAACTAGTGAAAGGCATAATTCAACGTCCTGGGGGTGAATTTCTGCAATGTCTCAATATGTTGGGCAGTTTTTAGAGCTGATAGAATTGTAGGAGTTCTGTTTTATGAAAATTACTGCTGTTCCTGTTTCTTTTTGTCCCAGTAATTAAAGAGAAATTTGAATGTTTATCTCTCTAAATTTCTTAGTGGTCAAGGATGAAAGATGGATCTTCAAAGTTAAATATTTAATTTTGTGAGACAATTCAAGGTGATCGTGCTTTGGGTAGCAGGTGACTTTACTAGGTAATCTACTGGTATGCCTTCCTACCTGAATGTTGCAGAATCACATCACAGAATCATAAAATGGCCTGGGTTGAAAAGGACCACAATGATCATTTAGTTTCAAACCCCCTGCTCTGTGCAGGGTCACCAACCACCAGACCAGGCTGTGGTCCTTTGAAAGTTCAAGCAAAATAGTTCACTGAATGTAGCAAAAAAAAAAAAAAAAAAAAAAAAAAAAAAGTGCATGGAAAGAAAGCATCCCTTTGCAAACATTTAAATCTTACCAACCCAGGTTTTGCTTCTGGAAATCATCTTTTACATCCAATGATTTGGTAAAGCTCAATTTGCTAGCAGTTGTTTCAGAGAAGTTATGTCTACAGCTGAGTTTTTCAGGAAAGTTTAAAGTTGATTCAAGAGACTTTCCCAAACAGTGGTATATCTTTTGCTTGAGCTACTGTCATATTTTTAGGCACTGTGTACCTTTAAATATTATCTACTCACTTAAATCTACTATAAGACAACAGTTAGTTGGAGGGAAGAGGGTGGTTGATTTTAGTGAAGAAAAACTAAATATTAATATATTCAATCTGTTTCATTTGCTTTTAATTTGAAAAAGGTGATATTGCATGTTGAACACAATGATCACAGTTTTATTTAAAAAAGAAAAGGCTTGGTATTTGGTGTCCTGAGGTGTGTAACCTCTAAATGGATATACATATTTAGTAGCAGATTCTGGGTTTAGCTTTGAGACTGGAAAGAAAATTTTATGATTTATGTTTCAAATTCACAAAGTAGCATCCTAATACCTTTAAAGAGTGCCAGCTAGCTCTCTCTCCTGTGAAAGAGTAAACTTCGGTAGAACTGTGCAATCCCATCTGCTTCAAGAAGAGGAAAAACAAAGCAAAGAATTCTAAAGTTAGAAGTATACAGATGGGAAAATATAATCACTGTTGGAATTCGTCAGGAAAAATATCTCCCACTGAACTTTGTCCCATTTTTAATTTTCCAGATTTTAAATGCATGCAACTTTTTTTTTTTTTTTTTTTTTCTTTCCCTCAGGGTGATTCTGGTGGGCCATTGTCATGTCAAAGCAATGAAGATGGAAAATGGTTTTTGACTGGCATTGTTAGCTGGGGTTATGGATGTGGAAGACCAAATTTTCCTGGTGTCTACACAAGAGTGTCAAATCTTGCCCCATGGATTTACAAACATGTGCCTTCAGTCATATAACTTGAAAGCTATTTTGCTGGAATAAACGTGCTGGATATCTTCATTAAAAAGCATGTTAGGCTAAAAACTGTTCAGTGTGGGAATTTCTTTGCATGTCTCCCTGATGTCACAATATTTGATTCTGGAGTGCGTATATGGCAGCATATGGCAGTATATGGCAGTAACAAGCACCTTTTGTTCAAGCTTCAGGGAAAGGAGAATCGGAGAAAAATCAGAGAAAAAATCTTGAGATTGCTCTATAGAGATATCTGGGGACACTGGAGATGTGGAAATAAGCACCTGGTCCTTTTTGTTCTTTTTACATGGCACATGTTATGTGCAATCTATCAGGAAACTAAAGATACAGCTGACTATCTGATGGCAGCTTAAGTCTGACTCACATTTTTCCTCTCAACTGTGCATACAGTAATTAAGAGTGGCATAGCAGTCAGCCACTAGTACTTTTGCTAATCCTGGTTTTCCTGCCCTTTCCAGTAGAGAGAGAGAGAGAGAGAGAGAGAAAATGGATTGCAGCAAGTGAGCTTAATCCTCTCAAGTAGCAGGACACTCATTTTTGGAGATCAGAAGTTCTGCAGATAAGCATGGAACAAAGCATTAGCAATATACCTTTTCCAGCTTCTGTTATAATTGTCTGCATGCTTTGAAACTACTGTTTTATTTCCTGTCTTATTTTCCCCCTAGTGAAGATTTTCCATGTATCATCCACCTGAGAATTTGATATATTTATTTTTTTTTTTATCTTCAGGTGACCTTGACAAGATGAGTAAATATGCTGATGTTTGTTACTGCAGTGGTCTTGCTCTTGTCCACATGAAATTGATTCTTCTGCTCTCCGATGGGTGTCTTGAATCATCACGTATTTGGGTTCTCTGAATGTATATATCGTAAACAAAATAATAGATACTGATTTCATTTTGGAGATGATGAAAAAGAGATTTCATTTAGTCTGAGCTCTTCTTAGGGGTTTCTTTTCCCTAAAAGAGAGGGCAAAGTGTTGGCCATTCAGCAGTTTGTGCACACAGTGGAGGTAGACTTGTAGGAAAAGGAGGATGCTAACAAAGCAGTCTGTCTACAGCTGTATTTTGCATTCCTGACCTGTAACGATTGCTTTCCAGTTAATCCCTTCTGTAGTCACCATGTGACCTGTGTTTGACTTCGGTTGTTTCATTTTTTGTTTTCCGGAGTACAGTTTCCTAGGACCTCTTCTGTGTTGTTGTTTGTATTTTGCTCCCTCTATCCAGCTTTGTTCTTGTTCTTGGCTATATACACATGAAGGTATCGTCTGTAATGCGTAATTTCCCCATGTGAATCCTCAATTTTCTTCGTTTCTTTTATGTGCAGAACTCTCTGAAGTTGTTGGCTTGTTGACTTGATGTCATTTTCAAGTCTGAATAGGAAATATGTTAATTGCTTTGCAGTTGTGTTTGTTCTGCTGTGCAGGTTTAAGTCTGTCACACTTAAAACTGGAAAATTCAGGTGATCTTTCAAGTTGTTTTCTCTCTTTTATAAATATTTGTGTGGATCCCATCAGGTGTTCTTTAGAAATTACAGTATTTATTCTGGGATTTTTCTCACGTACATTGCTTGTGTGTCCTTTCTGTTTTCAAATAAAGGGATCTGTATCTTACTCTAGCAGTTAGGAAAACAAAGAGTTACATTGACGGCAACTTTTCCTCCCCACCTTCTTTGATTGCAGATCAGCTGGCTCCAGCTTTCAGCAGTATGGCAAAGGTGAAATGAGAGTAGCCTGGTGTGCGAGCTGGTGAGCAGTATGCAATTATTGGTTTATGTTTAAGGAATGAGGTTCATCTAGGATTTTTGTTATTACGTTTCTCAGAAGGCATTTCTCAAGGCATCATGACACAGGCTTTTCCCTCCAGACGGGTTTCTGTGTACAGCATACCAGCTCCATACCACCCTGAGCAGGCTGATGGGCAGGTAAGAGACAACAGTTGTGCTTTACAGCAGGAGCGCAGTAAGCATCTCTTTGGCACCTTCTGACACTTGCAGGCCTCTGTTGGTGTGTATTGATCTCTGCTCTTCATATGTAATTGCTTCTAATTAAAGTGACAGCAATTCTTTTCTCTTTTCCACCCTGACCTTTTATCATTTGAAATGCGAAAAAGTGAAATGCATGGGTTTTGTGTGTGACATAATATGAAACACATTGTCTTAATCTGTTACTTTGTATCTCTGATAAAAACTAAAAAAGCAAATATACTGAAAAATGATACAATGGCTCTCTTTGTGTTGTCATCCAACTGATGCCACCCTATGTGTCTTTCTCTAGGAAAATCTGTATATTCACTACTGCACATCCTACCAAAATGGCTTGCTTCAGAAGTACTATTTCTTCAAATGGATGAGACCATGTTTCTGGAGAAGATGGCTTCTAGGAATACTATCTCTAGTTTCTTTATCAGTTGCAGTAGTTGTGCTAGTCCTGCACTATTCGTTCTGTAAGTGTTATTCCCCAGCACAGTCTGGGTGGGACGGTGGTTTTGAACTGTGTGAATGGTTAATCCCAAAAGCTCTGTGCTAAGCACTTACAGTGTGTGCAGTCATTGAATTTCATTTCTCTTTAAAGTCTTTGCTAAACAACAAAATGCGCAAAACTCAGCAGCGTTGATAGTTGCACAAGAAGGCATGTATTTTATTCCTAATTTTTGTCTCTGCTTCTGAATACCGTCGTTATTTAACTGTTATCTTTCCCAATAGCTTTGATGAATTAACAGTCTGCCTTCCAGTCACTTTTCCAAAACAGAGTGAGTTCCTACTTTCTATATATTTTTTTTTACAGACCTCACCTTATAGCCATGAAAATCATCTCTCTTTAGGAGAGCCCTGCAAAAAGAAGGAAGTTTGACAATTAAAGCATTACTGGTAGAAATGCTTATCTGAGCCTATACCTCAGTCCTCTCCTTTCTGTTGGTGTAGCAGTGGGACTCACGTCTCGCACATGTGTGCAGGTTTCTCTTCAGAACTAATGCTTGCTAATGCTAAAGACAAATACATACTTATGCAATTGTCTTGTTCTGGAATCTTTTCTGTAATGTTATTAGATGTGCTGATTTTTTTTTAATGCTTTTTTTTTTTTTCCCTCAGCTCCTGCTTTCTCTTTAATATATATTGGTGGAAGTGTAGAAATTCCTAATCTGACTTACACAAATGATCTCAGTGATCCCAGCTCCCAGAAATTCCTTCTGCAAGCGGAAGCAATCCAAAATTATGTAAGTCCCCACATAGGTATAGCAGTAATTTAATAATATTTATTGCCGAATCAAATTAAGATTGTGGAGAAGACTCTGGTTTGAGTCAAAATTTATTTTTTCAAAAATAATGAATTTAAAGCATGTTTTTTGAAGGTGTGTGGCTTTAGGAATGCAGCTAGACAGCTGGGTCTTTCTCACCACAAAGACAGCATTTCTGAGGTCTTTTCAATCGTGGATAAATTATTGTTCTTGAAGGAGTTTGTTCTTCTGTTTTGCTTTTATATACTTGAAAATTCTTCCTTTCTATGTGTTTTCTCTTTGAGCTGCTTTTGTTTGTTTTTAATTATGGCTCACATTTAATGCATAGCCATTTTGATTTGTTCTGCTTTTCTTCCCTAAGCAGTGCTTGCTTTCTTGTACTGCTGATGTGTGTTCGTATTTTTGAAATCAGTAGTTTCTTTGCTACTTGCAATCAGAAGCTTTAAACACAAAGCAGTTCTCTGTTAGCTGGTATTTCCCAAAAGGGCTAATTGAGTGTCTCTGAGTGCACAGCCAATACATTTTGCTTGCATCCAGATTGTATGACAGAAATTTGCCACAAATTTTAGGTAACTAAAATATGTGAAGCCTTATAGCAAAATATAAGCAGGTTTGGTAAAAGCTTATATTTATGGTTGATTATCAAGAGCTTTTTCAATGTTCTTATAAACGTGATCACTTTAAATGGGAAGGTATACATCTTTATGATCCCTGTTAGAGACATTTGTTGAAATTGTTTGATAGTGTCTGTCATGCGTAGGGGGTTTCGGAAGGGAAGAAATAGGATAAATACTTCCCAATGTAAGACACATTATTGATGCTAAAATATAACACTTCAGAGTTACTTTTACAATTTTTTTTTACCTGTCAGCTTGCAGAATCCTATGAGTGTTCCACCTTGGGAAAGTATTATTTGAAGTCCATAGTGGCTGCTTTCAGGTAGGTACTTTTCCAGTATGTGGTTCAAGTATGAGATCTTTAATTGTGTTAGTCTTGTCTTTTTGGCAGATTTTACATTTGTTACTTTGGGATAATATGCTATGATACTGGGATAACACGCTTGATAACAGGAAATGGAAGACAAGATAAAAATGTGAACTAAGCACTAAGATAATAGCGTGATCTCAGATTAGTGAGAGAAATGAAACCTGATTAATGGTGCCTTTGCTCTGTAATCTGTTCATCCACTTCTGTTTACTGGCATCATAGCCCAGCATGTTTTGTTTTGTTTTTTTTTATGTGTAGTTTATTTTGGTTTTCTCTATTTAAATGAAGCTCTTTTTAACCTTCCAAAAACAAAATTTAAAAGCATAATGTTGGGCAAGGCACTCTATTTAAGCTCCTGCCAAGAAATGTAAACACTTTGAGCAGATGGCTGTTACTGTCCCAGGTTTCTGAAAACTGGAAGGTCAGTCCATCAGCAGTTTCAAAAAGACAATTGTGATGGACTGTCTCTTTGAATCACTGAAAAAATACTTTATATGTGTATCTGTACATATCATTTATATCAAGAATAGTGTGAAATGTTGTATCAAAGCACAAGCACAAAATTATACTGTTGTATGGTATGAAGCGTCAGTTAAAATATATCAAGGAAAATGTGCCTGGAACTGGAATACGATCTTTAAAGCATATAGTGTATACAGCAGTTATGAAAACGTCTAATTCCATAGAATTACTTGCAGGATTTTCTTTGAGGAGTAGATTTTTGTCTGAGTGTTAATGTTTAAACAGCTTTTCCTTGATTTTTCGATTTTTCTTGTGTGTGTGTGTGTGTGTGTGTGTGTGTGTGTGTGTGTGTGTAGACATTTATATATAGATCAGTTTTTGAATGAGAGAGTTGTTGAATGCCACCATGTTCAGCTGTAATTCTTTGCATGGCTGTTCAACTGACCAGCAAACCAGTGCAAGCCAGAAATGCAATGGAAATCATGTTCAAAATATTACCTAGAGTGTATTTATAACACTGATGCTTTTTCCCATACACAGTGAAGGAGAGTATGGACTTCGAGCTTACTACTGGAATACATTCTGGGCACCACAAGATATTACTGGCTCTCTTAAAAAGTTAATCCCATTGGAACAAAAACAAATGAGTAGTAAACAAATACCTCACATATTCAGTACTTCTGGGGAAGGAGATTTTGATCTTGTTACAATGGAGCTTTTTGGTAACAATGTACCTGTCATTTAATATCTATTCTGTCTGTTTTTCTTTCTCTGGTTTTCATCTTTGGTTTGTGTAATTGATAGTTACTAAATTTCAGTTTCAGATTCTACAGAATACGATGTGATGCTAAAATCAGGTAATTATTCTTCAATCCCATATTACTCATGTTACTTTTGGGGAGAGAAAAAAAAAAAAAGAAACAACAGGAAAAAAACAAACAACCCTGTAATAGGAAAATGGCAGTTTCTCAGTTATCCTTGTATTTGTGGGGCTTATGAATCAAAGCAAACTAGAGATCTTCCCTGGCTTGAAAATAACTTATTGGTTTTATGTTCTGAGTAGCGTGGCTGAAATTGAGAACTTGAGAACTCTGCACTAAACTGAATTGAACTGTGCAACCTTGGCATCTTTAAAAAAAAAATAATAATAATAAAAAAAAACAACCTGCTGCATATAGCTAAACACAGTTTTGTTTTCCTTGTGGCTAGTTTATTTGTAGTTAGTGATCATTCAAATACAGCAGAACTTTAGTTGACTCTTCCCAGTTTTTCGATACCATGCATGTCTCAAGTTCGGCTTCCTGCGCTTAGTGTTCTCATTGCATGAAGGTCGGTCAAGAAATGGCAAAGGGGGAGGTGGGTTTCTGGCAGAGATTGTAGCTGTTGCAGACAAGTCCCCTCCTGCTTGCTGAGTGTGCAGTGAGCCAGTGGTGATGGTGAAGCTCTGTGCTTTGTTGTCCAGAGCAGGAGGAGGTGATGCAGCCTCGAAGGGGAAGGGGTAGATTTGTGACAATAAGTCAGGAGGAGATTAAAATAATCAAGAAACACAGGTAGGTGTTTATTGCCACCACTTCTGAATTTTTCACCAAATATTTGTTTTTCAACTTCAGTTTTTCAGCCACTAATCTAGATTCTTTTATATAGCAGTATCCTTTGACCTGTATGCAAAGCCAGGTAACAACAGAACTCTAACTCTGCTGAATCCCAAGAAGTCTTTTTATCAATGGAGGTTGCGAGTTCCTCCTAACTGCGTGGTGAGACTGGTAGTTACCTCTTTGCATGTTGTTGCTTCAGAGAGCTGTGCAACTCACCGTTTGTCTGCATACGATTTCCTTCTTCCTCTGCAGAACAAGATCATTACAAGGTATGTTAGTATGGGGCAAAGAGGTTCTTGAGTTGTAGAGAAGCTCTCCAAAACTGCTGAGTATGAAATTGATCTCAATTAGGCTTCTAAAATATAAGAGATTCCAAATACAATTTCATTAAAAATCTTCTATAAGGTATATGATAAAAAAGGTCTTTCATATTATCCACCTTATAATCATTTATAAATTTCAGTGGGTTTAATTTTAGACTATGAATCATTTTTTTTACTATGTGGGAGTTCATAAAATTGTTGACACGAATATACAGTGTTGTATTTTGATTGTAGAAAATGACTATTTTATAGTAGTTCATTCACAGTCAGACCTCTGTTCATAAGAGGCTTATGTCTATGGAAGGCTTCATCCCCAGTTGCTTTGAAATCCACTTGCATAAATGAGATCAAACGTTACTGTAATTTTCAGCAGCCACACTAATCCTAATCTTCCAGAGTCAAATTTTACGTGTGGACGTGTTGTCTACCATGAACAAAATAGTCTAACAAATTTTAGAATGGTTTCAATGACAAAAAATAACAGACCTACTAGGTAGAGAGGTAGACGTTAGATGAGCATGCAGATTCAGTTAGCACTGTCTGAAATGTATTTATTTAGTTGTGCTTTCAGTTTCTTGAAATCAGGAGATAGTTCTTTTCAGCTCTTTTGACAGACTTTTGTCTCTGTTCTTAAGCAACAAGACAATAGTCCTCATCACTGTTGGTAGACTGTCAGAAGGCCAGGTTTATATAGACTAATTCCTTCTGTAATTAATTAAACTTTTATTGTCTCCAAATCAACAGCACTGCACGTAGGTAGCATAGCGTGGAGATTCCCATGCCTGATGCTGGGCTACGTACTCTCTACTGCTGACTATGGGTTATTTCCTGAACTATTTCTCTGTTGTGCAGTGGCTCAGTTTATTATGATCCAGAAATGGATAGTCAACCATGTGCATGAAAGCATAGGAAGCTAGCAAAATCCACAAGTATATGACGCAACATGTTTAGAAAACACTGATGCAGTAAGTCATAAGTAAAATATCAAGAATATGTATGTGTATTGATATCTATCAAAGAATTTGATTTGAACAGCAGAGAAAAGAATGCTGCAACTAAAATGGCATTGAATGCTCTTACAATATCTACAAACAAACCAATTTTCTTGATTACTTCTATTGCCAAAGTAGCAAATGTGCCTTTTTTCTTATGCCTGATAGTTTTCTACTTGAAATTTTTCACACACATAGAATTGTAAATTAATGAAAAGAAATACTGAATACACTGTAGATTTAAAAAATACAATAAATAGTTAATTAAGAGATGCATGAAATAGCAACTCATGTTACAAGGAACATTAAGTACTCAGGCTTCAGGATATAAATGAACTCATAATTATTTCAAATTAAAGAATAGAAAGAACCGCCACAGATGGAGCTCTATGTCTCTTGGGATGTGAAATCAAACTGAATGCTAAAAGGCTCATTATCTGTTGCATAGATGCTATGCGACACTGCTGAGCTGAGTACTTTCTGGCTTTTTCATAACTGCCCATTGCTTCTCAGTACTACAACTGTTATTGAAATAGCCTAATCTGGCACTGCCTTTCTGATATTTCTACAGGTCTGGAAAGTCCAGCACACCTGTTAGAATGATCATCACAGATATTCTTGCCTAAGTTGTTCAGCAATGATGCAGGGACTTTGCATCTCACGTAGTGTCAGTGAGGTGGAACAGTTAAGGAAAAATAGTAGTTGGGGAAGTACTCCTGAAACAGCTGTTTTGAATCAGTGTCATTTCTGCCCAGTTACTCAAAAAAGGTGATTGGAATGTCAGAAGTTTTTTTTTCTTTGCAATCTTTTTAATATTTCAGGTGGTGCGGCTCTGGAGCCTGGACTCCTCCAGTTATACGTTTAACTTCTTCTAGTAATGTCATGTTACTTACCATCTCACTGGACCGCAGAGAAGAAAGGAATATACTAAAAGCTCACTTTCAAGCAATCCCTAAAATCAGTAAGTGACTAACATAAACAAATATGTGACGTAAGCTGCCAGGGCATGCTGCTGCCTTGAGTTCAACTTTCCATCACCCAGAACCCCATGTCCCTTTCCAAGATTATGCTATTTTCAAATCTGTGTTAGTTTATTATTATTATTCACTGCATACTTAAAGAAAGGCAATAATTATAGGAGATGGGCATCTAAGAGAGAAACTAAAAACCTCATAGATGCAGTTCAAAAGTGATGTGTTTTCAGCCTCAGAACCAATACATTCAAAATTTTGGTTTACATGAAATTAGTCAGCGGTATCATTTCAGAGGACTGAATGCTTTCTAACTGCTGAAAATGTTCACAGGAAGGCCAGAGGTAAATTATAAGTAATAGGATTATTTCCTGCTGTCTGCATTTAATTGTTTTTTCCATTTCATGTCTAAGAACATTTTTAAATTAAAAAACAAACAAACTTCCATCAGAGGTATTCCATATTTAGTTTCAACTGAAATGTGATTTTTTTTTTTTAATTTATTTTTTTAAAGAGAAATTAAGGGTGATTCTCTGTTAATCCAGGCTAAAACTGAGTTTAATCAGTTCACAACCCATTATTCTAACTCTGCGCATAGAGAAGTATCCCAGCAGGAGAAGTAGGCTCTCCACTTTAACCTGGCTGAGATAACTGTGTTTCTTCCTGTTATAATTCTCCTCCAGTGTGTGGTGGTCATTATATTTCCTGGAATGGAAGTCTGAGTTCCCCTTACTACCCAAGTTACTACCCACCAAATATTGACTGCAGCTGGATCATCCAAGTAAGTTCTGGGAAGTATTCTGAGTTGTGGTGCTTTGCTTTATGTGATATAGACATAAAACTGGGAGTAATGTCTTTTGATGTTGGTGAAATGAAGGGAAAACATAATAAGACCACTGCACCTGACTTCTCAGGCACCTTGTTTTCTTCTTCTTATGTACAAGTACCAGCTGTGGAAGAGAAGGATTTCCAAAAGATTGAGTGTTTGCACATGACTGAAATAAAGTGGTGGACAAGATGACAATTCCTAGCAGCTGGAGTAAACTATTCATAGTCCCCGGCTTTATTTCTATATCAGAAAGAAAAAGAAGTTCATGTAACTCATGTCTCAAACAGTACACATTACAGTACTTCCTTGAGCTCTGCATCAGAACCTTCTTAAATTTTTTATTTGACCTTCCACGAATATGTGGTGGTGCAAACATATTGTGAGCATCAGATATAGTGTTTCCTGCTTGCTGCAGAAAAGCTTACATTTCTTATCTAGCACAGTCTGGCCAAAGGTGGGGCTGAAAATGTTTCTATACATGTTCATGGTAGAAAAATTTTGTTTATTCAAAGGTCCTGCTGTGAATCATTAAAAAAAAAAAAAATCATGTTTTCAATCTGTTTATAAGTAAAGCATGACTTATATACTATCTCAGCAGCAGACTTTTTTATTTTGTGGTTGTGTTTACTTATTTTTTTTTTTTTTTAGGCACCCTCACCTGCCTACAAGCTCTCACTAAAAATCCTTGCAATACAAATTCAAGAGAAGTCTCCAGGGTCCAGTAAATGTGATAAAGACTGGTTAGAAATTGATGGAGTTAGGTAAGTCAATACACTATTTTCTGACATGCTGTTTTGCACTTGATTGTTCTACACATACTGAAGAGAAAGGTCTCACCAGACTTGTTTCCACTGAATTTCAGCAGAATAGTACTTACTCCTGCTCTAGTACTAAACATTTGTCATTATTATTATTGTTAATTTAAGCATACTACTTCTTCTACAGTGATAAATATTTACTTTATTGTTTCTCTTGAGAGCAATGATGAAAACTGCAGGATTTTATGCAGCTGCAGTGGATCTGAGTATTCCTGGCTGTGATCTCAACACGGTGTTAAGCTTGCGTAATTTGAAATTTCACTTCCTATGCCAGTTACTCTTTAATGGTTGTAACTGTTTTCAGCAAATAATGCAAATAAAAATGTTTCTTCAGGAAAAAAAAGTATTCAAAGTGATCTTTATCTTGGAAATGAATTGCACTGATATGGTAATAGATGTTGGTTTTGGTTGAATGAATTTCCTTACTAGATAGGTAGCCTTTTGAGTTTGCAGATTCAAATGGGGAATCTAAAGTCAAGCATGCTGAGAAGTGGTTGGTATTTATAAAGCAGACTCTGACAATGATTATCTTGCTTTCCCAGAAAAGTTGTGGATATGGTGGGGTGAAATGGAAGGTATTTGTTAATATGCTTTCTAATACTTCTGTTGGGCTGAAAAACACTTTAAAAAAAAAAAAAAGCTTGTCTTTTATTGCATTGCTTTAAAGCTTTTTGGCATTTGTACCCTTTAATAATAGGAAAAGCAGCTAGGTGGTAATGCTTAGTTTGGTTGGAAATGGACTCCTTTGAATTTTGTCTTGCCAGATACTGTAAAGATATTTCAGAAAATGGCAGAAGCAGAGAATATGGCTATTCTGTTGCTATCAACTTCCATTCCGATGAACTAGTCACCCATAGAGGATTTTATATTGAATATAGAGCCTTCAGTAACACAGACAGTAAGTGAATACACATGCACTTTAAAAGGAGCTTACAGAAACCATTTTTGACAGACAGCATATTTACAAATCAACTTGCCTTTTTTGCTTATTTTTGAGAGTAATATTTAAAATGCTATTGTGTGTTATGTTAACATTAACTGAACAAATATATCTGAGATATTAGGGGAATGTTGCTTTTAGAAGCTTTTACTTATTTCCAGAAATATTCTTTTTGTTTCTGAACAGGCTAACTTCCTTTTGCTAATGAAATTCTAGGGAGTAGAAGTTCTCCATGACTTCAAAAGATCACACTGTGAAACTTCAGATCCTCAGCTTGCTTGACTGAGTGCAGTTCTTTTAATTGGTGACTTAAAAGTATTTGTGTATGAGAGATTCTTTTCTTACAGAGGAATTCCTGCTTTGAGCTACTAGTACTGGCTGAGTAGTGTCTTTTCCTCCTATCAAGGCAATAAAGAGAAGAAAATAACTCCAAATTGGAACTGACTACATAAATGTGGGACAAATTAGTTTGGCCCTTCAACCTTGTTTAACTGTTAATTTACCTCCAGTGCTAGAGGAGCAAAACTAAAGTTGACCTGATCTGAGGAAGAATGAAGTGCTTACAGCCCAAAACGCCAACAGTATCCTGGGCTGTATCAAAAGAGAAAGGTAGCCAGCAGAGAGAGGGAGGGGATTGCTCCCTTCTACTCTGCCCTTCTGAGACCCATCTGGAATATTACACAAGAAAGATGTACAGCTTTTGAAACAGGTCCAGAGGAGAGCCACAAAGATGATCAGAGGTTAGAAGTGGCCTCGCTTATGAAGAAAGGTTGAGGGAGCTGAGTTTGTTCAGTCTGTAGAAGAAAAGGCTTCAGGATGACCTAATTGCAGTACCTAAAGGGATTTTATAAGCAGCAATTAGACCAACTTTTTACATGGCAGTGATAGGACAAGGAGAAGTGGTTTTAAATTAAAAAGTGTGACTTAAATGTTAGGAGAAATTTTTCACTCAGTGGTGAGGCTGTGGCACAGGCTGCTTAGAGAAGCTGTGGATGTTCCATCCATGGAGGGGATCAAGGCCAGGTTGGATGGAGCCCTGGGCAGCCTAATCTGGTGGAATGTAACCCTGCCTATGGCAGGGTGGTGGGACTGGATAATCTATAGGTCGGTCCCTTCCAACCCAACCCGCTATATGATGCTATGATTTTTCTAGCTTGTCCTCGACAGTTTGGATGCACAGATATGGCATAAATTCCTTAAGTAGTCTGTCTGACTAGTGGAAAGGCTTTTCAGATGATAGTGATTAATTAATAGGGGTAGGGCAATTATTTGTGTGCACCTGTAATCAGATTATCTTAGGGAGTTTAGAGATTAACTGATAAAAATTGTAAGATATCTATCTTTAAGCTTGCATAAAGTATATGAGTGATGATTGAAAAGTCTGGAGAAGAGTCTGTGGGAAGGCCTTGGCTGGAGTGTGACAGTGCATGTAAAAGAAGATGGGAAACAATAAAGAGATACTGGAAAGAGCAACCAGAAGGTAATCCAGGTTCAGGGAGCAGAGTATAAATTAATGCAGTGAATCTTTTCCTTACTAGAAGCTAACAAGAAGATAGTCTGATAGAAATGGCAACTAACATCAAGGTGACCTGTAGCAAGTGAAGATAACACATGGCCACTAACTAGATATTTGGATAAGCATTTACAGACCTTTCTGCTTCAGGTTGTGCTCCAGAGCAGTTGAACTGTGATGATGGAAAATGTAAGCATCAGTCTAAGACCTGTGAAGGTGATGATAGCTGCAGGGAGGACAGCAGTGAAAACAACTGTTGTAAGTATATATTTTTTTTACCGTTTTCCAAGAGATGGTGGAAGGCAGAAGCGGAGATGCGCTCAATTTAATTTTTAGTGGAAAACTTTCTCATTCAATTTGTGAATCTTCCAGTAGACATGCAGATTAGAAATACAGTTGAATGTTCTACATGTAAGAATCCAAACCAAGGTGTTGTTTTTTTCTCTTCAAGAAGTACTTTTGTAGTCAATGTCCATTAACTTCCTCAAAATGGCTTTAAGCAGCCATTTCTATTTGTACTGGTAGGCACACAATATCCCCCCTCACACACACACAAAAAAACCCCAGACTTGTTAGAGGGTTGTTTCTTCCATTTTTTTCTGTGAGTTCAACTTGTTTGATTAAGCATACAGTATACATTTACATGAAGTCTTTAGATTTGCCTATCCATAGAGAGAGGGTTGGTGAAGAGGAAAGAAGGTTAATGTCATCTCCAAATGCCTATTAGTAATCCAATTAAGTACACAAAATCAAGATGCTACTTCCTGAACTTAACAAATGAGTGCATCTTTAACTACTTTCTGCCACAACTTAGCAGCTAAGTATTCCCTGCTCTGTTTTGCAGCAGGAATGATTCATGCTGCTGTCACAACTGGTTGTCACTGCTTAAGATAAACAATATGCTCAGTCTCCCAATAAGGACCTGCTGTATTTTAACCTTTCTTCTCTTACTGATTCCTGTGCAAGTCCAACATAAGGCATAACCACAAGGATTTACCGGGATTAAAAATGAACCTTAAGAGATGTCCTCAGGCCTACAATCTCAGTGACTAAAAGTAATGACAGTACCATTATATGAGAAATCTGCTTAATACAATCTAATTTGCAAAAGAACTTTGAATTCAATTCCCTTCTGATGTGGACCTATTTTGGTAGTCATCCTGCTTCGCATCACCTATATAAAGTGAATAGAAATGCTTCTGAATTATTTACTGAATTTAGTATTCCTATGTGCTCTTTCTCAGCACCAAGTACAAATTTTGTAGTAGTAAAAACATAACATGCATAGTGTAACTAGTTTATGGGAGAGTCTAGAGCTGAAATTAATAAAGTCAAGGATAACAGTGATTTTATTTGGAAGATCTGTGTCTTGCTGTGCGTTTCTGTTAAAATAGCAAATTCTCCTCAAATGCTGCCTGATCAGTACCAAATAATGTAAGGGACAGAAACATTACAGTTCTGGGTCTTTTGTCCTTTTAGTATGTACATGTCTTTACAACACCATTATGGACAGTGCTGGTACTGCTAATGTCTCCTTGCATTTTGCCACTATAATGTTTGCCTTGCTTTTAATCTTAGGTCCTTGATGTAGCCAGCAGAATGTCCTTGCTCGCTGGAAAAATCCTTACTGCTATTTCAAGATCACTGTAAACAACTGATAATTATAGTGTCATAGAACTATAGAATCATAGAATGGATTGGGTTGGAAGGGACTTCAAGTATTATCAAGCTCCAATCCCTCCACCACAGGCATGATAGCAGTGGATAGATCAGAATTTCTATATAGCAAACTATGATAGTTATTAACAAAAAATGTATTGGAGATTGCTGAACTTAAAAACAAAAAGATGATTTCTGAGTCATATCTGCTCTGTAAATGTGTGATTTGTAATGAGAATAGTTCTATTGTTGGTAAAACAATAGATCTGACAAGCCTAGTTTACTCACTTTAGAGTTAAAATCAGAAAGAGTGCAGCTGAAGGCTGTGGTGTCTTTCTTCAGGGATGACTGAGATTTAAATAAGTGTGATTATTAATCCTTTTCCACAGTGAACTGTTTACACTAGCACAGACTATGACTTCAGACAGATTGGAATGTGTGGCTTAGAACAACACTTGAAACAGAAGAGTACGTGACACTGTCTTCTCTCTCATTTCAGCCTACAAAAGTTGCTTCCCTTATACTTACAAATGTCTTAATGGAAAATGCTTGCTGAAACCAAATCCTGAGTGTGATGGGAAAAGAGACTGCACAGATGGATCAGATGAAATGAACTGTGGTGTGGTAACAGTTATTTGAAAATTAGCTAAAGACATCACAAACGGAGTTAGGAATTGGTGCCATTGTCAAGTATTACTATATTAAAAGTTGATAACATCAGATGTGAGTTTTAAAAAAATTCCTGGTAACTTTTGCATAAAAATGAACATCTTAAATGGTTATACTCATTTTAAACTTACTGATCTATTGTCTGTGATTATTTATTTCAAGCAATGAGTGTTTCCAGGTTGTTAAACTGGTAGATCTTGTTGCTTGTTCTGTCTGAATTAAATTCAAAGACTCATGGAGCAGTGTATATAAGTAGGGAAACAATAAGATCTTATTCCAGTAAACTGTTGAAAACAGCCCTGTTTAGGATTGTGTTTAAATGGTTTTTTGGGTTACTAGCCTCTTAGGGAATCTGTAAGGGAGGATAAGCAATGTGTGGTTTATTCCTTACCCACCCATTGAGTGAAAATGGGCAAGTACCTGTATCATTTTTTCCAATTGTAAGAAAATACTTCTTCCCCCTCCCCACCGATGGCCTTGTGGTCTGTAAGTAAACGTTAGTTTGTGTTAAGCATAACCAAGTAAAATGACCTTGTGTTTTCTTTTACTACTTTTTTCTTTTATTTCTATTAGCTTGTGGAAGACACCAGTTTAAGAAAAACAGGATTGTTGGAGGTGAAGATGCACAATCTGGAAAATGGCCTTGGCAAGCAAGTTTACAAATAGAAGCACATGGCCATGTCTGTGGTGCATCTGTTATTTCCAAGAGGTGGCTTGTATCTGCTGCCCATTGCTTTCTGGATTCTGATTCCATAAGGTATGGAAAGATTATGCTGTCATAGACTTCCTCAATTTGAAGTTTGACAATTTTGCAGTACTGCTTTCAAAAGTCTGTAGTACGTACTTTATGTTTCGATAAATTGAATCAGGTATGACTGTGACGTTATAAGTACATGAACCCTCAGTTTGGAAGTCCCAAATATTTGAACCTATTTTTCTGCCTCTATCTCCAGGGAATCCTGTTTGATAAAACACACTGCTTTATTTTTTATTTAAAACAAATTCTTTTTTTCTTTTTTTTCCCCTCCAATGGTAATAGCCCTTTTCTCCCAAGAAAATGGTTACTTAAGGAAGGTGTCAAACTCACCTGAGTTCAGTTTAGCTAGTGTAAATTGAAAAGACATGCTTTCGATGTGTGACAAGGCAGAGAGTTTAGTAACGCACTTTGTGACTTCCAGAGCTCTGTGGTTACATTTTGTAAAACAGAAAGCCATACATTTTCATTTCAGTGATTGAAAGTATTCAGTTGCTGAGAATGAGATTGTATGCATGACAATACACTAGACGTAATTTACAATAAAGATTTTATAGCTTTTTTGTAAGATAATCTGGTACTTGTGCAACATATGGCGCATGTTCAGACAAGACTGAGATCATATTTTTGCTTGTCAAGCACATCACTCTTGATGCAATGTGTACACGAGTTCCAGTAGTATGACTGCATATTAGTTTTCAGGTTGGTGACATTTTGTACTTCTGCACTTTCAAGGCAAAACAATTGCCTTCGTGCTAACCATTTTAATGACCCCCACTATCACCCACAGTGTTGCATACAATTGTGGAAAATGCATTAATGCCCTAGGGAAAGAGGCCACACTGAGTAAAGGCTGTAAATACTGCAGAGATAGATATTGCAGTGCACTGCTTGCATCTGAGATGTAATCTAGCTTTTATTCAGTACAGATAAGTTTTTTTTTTTTTTTAGAGAATTTCCCTGAGCTGTATATATATCCCAGTTATATTCTTAACTGAGTAGGTGACCTCTCTTTTCATAAACAGAAATGTGTATGTGTATGAGGATTTTTTTCAGTTCTGTATGCTCTGGTGCATCTTGATTTGACCTGAATTCTGATCTGAGGCCTGAGAGTTTTACTCCATTATCAAATGATGTAATTACAGTCAGAGAATTCTCAGAACAGCTGTTCATCTGTGTAGTGATTAGAGTTTTGATGATGTGCTTTAGACAATAAATGTTTGAAAACTGTGGTGACATGCAGCAATAGGTTATTGCTGTAGCTAAATAGCCACTTTTGAGATTAATTATCTAATCTGCATGAAGTAATTTTATAATTAAAACAGACATGTTATTTAATAGAATTTTGACCAAGACCCTGAAGAACCACTGCTAGTATGAGAAGAAGAATATGTGCTTTTGAGGCTTGTATGTCAGAACAGTTGATTTTGGCCTGTTTCCTGGTGCAGGAATGTCAATAGCAATACTGACTTTTACCCGAGACAAGTGTTGTTGAAAGTATAAATGTGATGATAACAGAGCTCTGAGAAACCCACTGCCAGTAGCTCGGTCTGGTTCTGCTTTGGTCATTGCCTATGGGCAGCGTCAGGACCGATAGGCTACCTGTCCATCTATTTATGCAACAGATTTCTGGTGGATCAGTTGGGGTTGATCTCTGTACCAAAAGAAAATGATACAGTCCACTGCACTACAAAGAAAAACTGCATGATTTACCACGGCATAGCATATGTCATTGTGTTTTCATCATACCTGAATAAAAGAGTCAGCTTTGAAAGTATTGCAGAATACACAGGGTGCTTTGCTTACTGTAAAGATGACTGAAAAATGTGCTTTTCCAGGAACTGATCTTATAGCTTTAGGACACTATTAATTTCAAGATGGTAATTCAAACCATTATTTATTGTTCTAGGGGGCAGAGACTATAGAACATCTATTTTCATAAGTGTTTATGGTTCTACCTATGGTTCTACCCCATTCATTTTCTTTTGATGAATCTCATCAAATACCATACCGTTTATAAAATGTGAATTGAAACTGCATTGCTTTGCAATGGGTTGTTCTAAAAACATTCTCTTTGCAGATACTCTGCTCCATCAAGGTGGAGAGCATATATGGGCTTACGCACTGTTAATGAAAAGAGCAATCATGTAGCTATGAGAGCAATCAAAAGGATTATTGTCCACCCACAGTATGACCAATCTATCTCAGATTATGACATAGCCTTGTTGGAACTGGAGACACCTGTATTCTTCAGCGAGCTGGTACAGCCCATTTGTTTACCAAGCAGCTCTAGAGTATTTCTTTATGGAACTGTCTGCTATGTAACTGGCTGGGGAGCCAAAAAAGAAAATAGTATGTTCATTTCCTGGATATACTTCTTGCAAGTTTGGCTTAATTTTAAACATTAACAATGAAATATTTATAGTCCTCAAAGAAGATACTTCTGGTTTAAATAATAGTTCTATAAAAAAAAGCTTGAAAATATCTTATAGCAAGGCTGTAAATTCTGAATATACTTGTAGTGGGCAGTAAGTATCAATATACATACTGTGTATGGAGGTCAGAGATGATGTCACAGATCACTGAAAAACAAATGCATTACACTTATGAAAAGCAAGCCCATTTCATCTTCATAGTTTCATTTATCTGGTGAATAGATAACAATCTGCATTCTAGTCAAGAAAACAGGAACTTGGAAATACAGAGGAGAAAGACTTTGTCTCTAAGGCTCTGGTTAAGAATATGGAGCCCCTGAAATAACTGCAAGAATATGGTGTCTTTTGGTATTTTGTCTGCCTTAACCAAAGGTAAACTCATGTTTGTCCCTGGAGGAGTGCTGACTGCAGATAAGGGCAGCGTGCTGCAGTGAGGAGGCAGGAAGAAAAGCAAGCAGAATTAGAGCCACAGAGGAACCTGTAGGATCTTGGCACTGTCGCATGGGAGCCAGCTTTGAGACATGAATGTAGACAGCTCCTCAGCATTGCATGAATCTCCACTGTTGTGCTGAGATCAAATCCTTCACATTTGATTAGAAGCCATCTGCTGTGGTAGTGTTGGCTTTCCTAACATGCAAAAAATAATAAGTAAATAAGTCTAAGATAACCGCTTAATAGCCTAATAAGTTGCAAATGTTGGTTTTTTTTAATTGATGTCTTCTTATACTATCTTTTATCAAAATAATTTAGGTAATGCTTAAAATCAATCTAAATGTATGTGGAAAACAACATGTTTTTGTCTTCCCTATTTCATTCCCAACTCACTCAAAGAGCCTAATGAGTAAGCAAACTTCTGTTCATCCAGATATTGAAAAGGTTACCCTCACTATCTGGCCAAAGCATGACTGAGGATATGTAGTTCACAGCAGCACCTTATGCCAATGCTTTAGTATGGAATCAAGTTCCTAGTATGTCTTGTGACTTACATGCTTGCATTTCAGTCCCCTTTTGCTTCCACTTTCATTCCTTAGCTCCTTATCTATAAGTGGAAGGATGGGAAACAACACAGGAATTTTCTTGGCTAGGCTATACACAACATTTAAAGACAACCATAGTGTAAATAACAACAAAAAGCTTTGAGCACAACTTAAAATGGCATTCAAAACTAGTTACATTCAGTGGTATGTTGTATTTTTTATAACTTAATGACTTTTTACTGCTTTCTGGCAGAATAAGTTCATAAGAATAAAGACTGAGGAAACGGAAAGGGAATACTGGTGGTGCATATGGACTACTTTGTCTAAAAACGTCTGTGTAGACAACAGTGTTCAAAAGCTGAGGGCAGGCCACAATTAAAGGCAGGAGAACTACTCTTCAACTATCTCTTGGGTAGAGTTTGAGTTTGGAGCAGCTCTCCTTTGATTTGGCAAGTGACTTCCATTGTAGAAATCTGTACTACTGTCATCTCTGCAACATTTGCTTTTTCCTAGGTCATCTTGCCAGAACACTGCAGGAAGCTAGAGTGAGAATAATTAATCAAAGCGTTTGCAGCAAGCTGTATGATGATGTCATCACATCACGCATGCTCTGTGCTGGGAATCTTAATGGCGGCATTGATGCATGCCAGGTAATCTGGGGCTTGTTAAGAAACCGAAAATAAGTGTTTACTTTCATTAGAAAACTTCAGAGTTTGAGGTAGTTTTTTTGTTGCTTTTTTCCCCACTCCTTAGTAGTAGGAGAGTGAGGTGTCCTGAATTTATGATTAACTTAACATGACAATTAAAGATCTTCAAAATAAGAAAGGAAAATAAGCAGAAATAATATCTGAAACTCTTGAGAAATACAACTTCACAAGACAAGGAGTAAAATGTGTTGAAAACAATTCTTCTTCTCTGACAGTTAATTTTGTTATATAGTTATAAAGCAGCAGTGTAAGGATAAAGGGAATGAAGCTAAGTCTACCTGTACTTTTTGCTATTTATGTTGATTTTTTTTTCCTTTTTTTTATATGTGGGTGTTGGGATTGTAGCAGTCTGAGAAATACACTGTTAACAGTTGCAAACAAACATGTAATGCAAAAGGTGAATTTGGTAAATGCAAGTGAAGTGCTGCCTCTTTCTTTCATGTGTTTATTCATGCGTATAATGAGTTTTGATTACATCATGGTATCATGAGTTATATGACCTAGTTTATCTGTGCACACAATCAGAAACTGTCCTTTGGACATTCTGCAACCATCTTAACTCTTCTTTTTCCTTCCTAGTTGTTAGATTGTTTGTGCTATTTATCAGTATTTAATTTTACTATGACGAATATCTGCTTTCTGAATTACAAACACAGTCAATTTTCCAGATTCTTAGTAAAAGGAGAAAAACATGTTACTGAGTTTGGACAGTAGTAATTTGATAGAACTTTTGTATAATATACAAAGTTTACTGTTTTAATGCAATAGGTTATTTTTTACAGTATGTAACTCTTAATGGGTCAAACTTCTTTATACACAATGGACTGTAGTAGGATCCTCTTGTAGTCTTCAGGTTCTTATTCAGTGAAGCATTATTTTTGTTGACTTAATGTTCTGTTTATGTATAATCTTAAACCTTAGAATTGTTTTGTTTAAACATGTTGTAATACACCTAAGGCTTAAAGTTCCCCCAAAATGTGTTGCATAAAATGTGCCCTTAGATTTTTAGATGGGTATTTTAACTGAATTTGCTATAGACTGTACTGTTTAATCCAGTTTCCAATACAATATGCTATGTTGTGTCCCAGTGTGCTGGCTCTCTGGGTCTTTAACTTCTTTGTCTGTAACAGATTTATTATTTTTTTTTCTTCTGTCTCAAACATGTTTCCTGTGCAGTGCTAGAGATGAATGACATTGAAGTTCAGGAAATTCCTAGAGGACCCTGAAAACCATTGTATTACAATTCAAGCCTTGTTGGCATTCTGATTTCTTTTATTTCTTCATGGTCATTATAACCTGTGTAGTCCATTCACAGTTCATCTGAATTGTCCAAACAGCTTTCATCTTTAGCTGATGTGATAGTTACCATGAGAAATAGTGTATGTTCTTTCTGGCTTAGTTATCTTATCACTGTTGGGTGTTCTTTGGTTTTACATGGTTCCTCTTTCCAGGACCCTTCCTCTTTCTACGTTCACACAGCTCCTTCTGTCTTTCACAAGCAGCTGTATAACTGGTTAGAATATATAGACTCCTTTCTCAAGTTGCCTCTAGATCAGCCTCTTTGATAATCCAAATTGCCAGTATATCAGCACCCTTAGAGAGGGTTAACTGTTCTGGCTCAATTTGGAGGCTGTTAACTGCCTTGTATACATTAGGAGAGTCTGAAGATATCAGCTGTATTAATAAACTGTTTGGAGTTCTGTGAACTATCTGTTCACTGAAGGTGTGCAGTGAAGGTCACAAAGCATTTTTGAGCTCAAATGTGTTGTGACCTTGTGCACTGAACTAAACTGGAATCTTTAATTTTCTATGTTATACAAACCAGAATGTTCTCTTTGAGAAGCCAGCTCTTACCTGCATATCCCTTAGAGTCTTTGTTCCTTTCCCTCACTCTACAAATGGGCTGCAGACTTGAAAATGAAGCTGCTAATACCTAACCACACTATTCTTGCTATCCTTCTATTCCTGTTTAACATCATGAAAGTTTTGTTTTCAGTCTGAGAACAGATTAGTGGTAGTAGAGTTCCCTTTCCATCCCTGTCTTTTCTTCTCCCCGCTCAGCTTACGAAGAGTTGCTTTATGAATCCTGTAGTAACAGGACACCAGCGGGGAGTAATTTTTCTTCCTCTTGCCTTTGCATTGTGTCACGTAGTGTGCTAATTCTGTAAGTTAAAACAAATTGAATAAATTCAACATTTTACAATACTCTGTGTGCGAATGCTAATGGATAAACTCCCTTTGTTTCAGGGAGATTCTGGAGGTCCCTTGGCCTGCACAGGAAAGGGAGATAGATGGTACCTTGCTGGCATTGTGAGCTGGGGTGAAGGATGTGCCCGACGCAATCGTCCTGGTGTATACACTAAGGTGACAGCACTTTATGACTGGATTCGTCAGAATACAAACTGATGTGCCGTGGAGAAAATGCAGGTCATCTCCGTTACAAAAGCTGCTTCCTATGTTATCATGTACGTGAAAATGCTACTGGCTGTTTTACTGTGAAAGAAAGCACTATCTTAATGCAGAAATGATCATTTGTCATTCCCTAGTGGTAACTGTTTGGATTCAGACCGGCTTCAAATAACTCCAGGTTCCTTATAGATTCATATGTCTTATTCCCTACCAGCAGAAACAGGGTTCCCTTACAAATTAAATTTGTATCTGGAAAAAGAAAAGTCCAGCCAAACTGTTTTTATCAGATCTTCCCTCCTTCCACCTTTGAGATGTGCATCTCTCTTGCTATCTACCTTTCCATAGGCATACATGGATACTCATGCTCACATCCCATATACACTCACATATATTCCCTTACTGATGTTAAAGGATTTTAAACATGAGTAATACCTTTGTTTTTTTCAAACTATAAATAATATGATCATGTATAGTATACAGATTCTAGATGAATTTGTGTTAATTTTGCTTCCACTTCATAGCTTTTTCTTTCTGGGCTGTCCTCTCCTGTGCTTTTCCTAAAAACACCAAATACTTAGCCAGAACAGTTATGATGGAAAAAAAAACAAAAAGTAAAAAATAAATAAAAAATGGAAGAGCGTCATTAGGTTGTTGAAATACAGTAAATAGGAGGAAATAAATACTGAATTTTAGTTAATTAAACTAAAGAGAACTGCGTGTAAAAATGCACTGTGAAATATGCTTTTTTTTTTTTTTTTTAAGTTCCTAATAAAGATCTCATAAGCTATCGGTTCATCAGCAAAATGTCAGGGATTTAGAATACAGTCCCATTCCTATCAATAAAGGCTGTTAGTACATATTTGTGCATGTAACTGATTAAGATAAAACTGTTTATTTGCCTTCTTTAATAATTGTTAATATCAGGGCTATTTATTAATTGCCTTGTTTGATATTAGGCTGTGATGAAATTACCCAAACCTGAATGATTTCCTTTATAAAGGAGCTGGCAGTCAGATCTCAATTGTAGTGCACGCTGGAGTGTAAGCTGGTTTGTCTCCTACACTTGACTATCTTTTTTTTCTTCCCCACCTCCAAGCAGCTTGAGGGCTCACTTAGCACCCATGCAGAAAGTGGTAAGTGGCAACTGTAGTGGAACTGTGTTGTGTTGTATCAGTCTTCAAACCAGCATGACACTGGTCCCTGGGTCATAGAAGGCCAATGCCTCAGTGGCTTCAGTGGGTGCCAGAAACTGCACATCCACCTGCCTAAAATGAAAGGCTAGAGCTGCCTGAGGAGAGAAGGTACTACATGAGCAAGACTGGACAAAACGCACAGTGGCATTTCTCTGGGGGCAGCTTGCAAGCAATCTGTTTTAGGACTTGTGTTTTGCTAGGAAGTCTGTCTTGTTGAATCCAGTCTTCTAGTAAAAACAAGCAACATCTTGCAGCTCTGAGACTCTCCTGATTAACCTGGACACCTTCCTCAGTCTTTACTGCTTTCTTACCTTCTCTTTACACTGAGAAAATACTTGTAGAGTCTAATGTTTGCAAAGTATAACAAGTGGATTGTCTCATCTCTGGCTTGAACAAGCTCTTTCTATTTTGGCATGCTTGTTGTGGGTTTGTGCTGCTTTCCTTGATGTCCTTGGTCTGCAGTGAACTGAGTTTCAATGTCATGTTTTTTGTTTTGTCTCTTTTCCTAGCCAGAAGAAGGGTTGTGCCCATATGACCACACTGCTCTGAAAGAAATGAAAAAGGAATTAAGAGGTCCTTGGTCTCAGTGAAAGTGGAGGAGGAAATGACAGCCACACTTCTGTCATAAGATCATTGTTTCAATCTTAGCAGTAAATCTAGCTTTGAAAATGATAATCTGTTGATGAACCTATAAACCAAATTCAGCTGATTTTAAGATTCCAAAGCTGTTTATGATATTTAATAATTCTGGCATTCAATTTAATAAAAAATCTGTCTGCATTTTCTAGAAGGTCTTAGAATCATGCTGCGTATTTGGAAGTGTTTAGCTTTTAAAAGAGGTGAAAAAGATGAAGCTGGTAACTTGAATATCAGTCCTTGCAGGTCACACCACGCTTTTTTTTTCAAAAGTACGTAAATGTGTGGTTCTTGTTTAGTCACTGATCTTTGGGAAAATGTGAGAGTGAGCTACTACTGAAATTCTCACACAATGTGCTTCCTGTGCCTAACAGGGATACTGCTTCTTCATCCTTTCTTGCTGTGGTTTTGGGCATTCCCCTCACTCCTACCCCTGCAACAATTCTTGTGACAAGCTTCCTACCTAAACAATACTCAAATTATGTTCTGTAGGGATTTTAATGCTATAATGGCATAAGTCATTAACTTCTCTTTCAATAAACAAATAATAAAAATGTAGATGTCTGTTTCCTTCATTTGGTTATGCCTCTGAAATTCTAATCCCCAGATATGGTCAAAACTGCATTTGTACTTTGGAGTTTACATTTTTTGTAAAACTGAGCCAAACCTACCTGCATTACAAAAGCATGTATTTAAGGGCATTTGTTTCTTCTCTATACTTCTTCTTCTTCTCCTTGCTTAGAAACAACAGTTGTCTTCAGAATAAAATAGCTTTCCTGCTGTTCAGTTTGAGATAAGAGCCTAGGCCAGAAGGTTCAGATCAGTTCTTAACTTCCTGTTTTATTTAAGAATTTTGCAGTTCCATGTGTCAGAAGGGTCAGTTGCTTCACTGGCAAAAGGAAAAAAAAAAAAGACATTAAGTATGAAAGTTAGATCACCCAGACAACAGAAATTCAGGAGTTCATACAGAGTTCTTTCAGAATGAAATAAATGGACTTTGGCATTTACAAGCTGAGATCCATAATCATTAACTCACTTGACTTAGGAAAAAAAGTTGTTGTTTCAGGCAGTTCACCAGGAAGGTACAATCTTATATATGAGTGGAAATGAAGTGAACCCAGTTTTCAACAGGAATACTTGAGAACCAGCAGGTAAATTCTCTTCTAGTGAAGATCCCAAGTGAATTCCTGTGGATTCAGGAATCAGTACCTGTTTTGATCTTGATGTCTGCTCAGCTTCATCCTCAGTACTCCAGTCTTTTAAAGATTCTCCACAACCAGAAGATGGGTCGTGGGACTTGTGTTTGTTTTTATTTGCTGATTTAAACAGAGCCTTATGCTCAGCTTCACAGAGTGCCTTTGCCTGGATGACTGCACAGTGACATCAGCAATCCAAACCTCCTTGGGAATACTCTAAGCTTAGTAGCCAGAAGAGTTGCACAATGAGAAAATCTGAGGGAGAAAAACCCATCCTCAGCGTTTGGCAGGGGAAAGAAGGAGCGGTGCTGTGAGTGGATGTTCATCCAGCAGAAAAAGAAGTTGCGGAAAGAGGCTTTGTTCCCTTTTTAATCCAATGTCCTCTCTTCTGAGGCAGGAGTGCGAGCATCCTTTTGATCAAAAATAAGAGGAGTGCTCTGTGGCAAGGAAGAAGAAACCCCAGGAAGGAATCAGAACAGAAGAAATAAGAGGAGGTAGGATGAGGAATATTGGAAGGGTGGGAGGGAAGGAGAGGGGAAAATCAGCCCTTGGTTACAGTAAGCATTTTATTTCTTGTGGCAATCTAGTGGAGAACAAATCTCAATTCACGCCATGATTTGCTTTGTAAAACCCTCAAGGGTGCAAGATAATATTAGAAGGCCATCCCCCTTCTCTCTTCAGATTTGTTCTTCTTTTACATGGAATTAAATTCTCAATTTCCAAGTTTATGCTCCACAGTATGTGAGTAGACATAAACTCTTCTTTGGCACCTGACGCAATTTTGGACTATAGAACATCTAGAGAGGACAACTCCCAGCACAACGCTGAGTAGTGTTCAGTTCCAATTAGACTACACTGAGAGGCTAAAATTGGAAGCATTAATGGAAGATGTAAGCTCCTTTTGTAGCCCAGCAGAACCACAAGCAACGTGATACTTTCCTTGGTTTATGCTGTCGAGAACCACATCTGTTTGTCTGTATTTCACTGTTTCAGCTGAAAGCAGCAGGGAAAGCAGTCCAGTTGCTTTCAAAATCACTTCAGCAAATGGCAGCACTGCTGAGGGTTAGTCACCTGCTCGTGCTTGTCAAGGGCTGGTACACTAAGGCAGACAAACTGGAAAACCTAGTCTTGCACAGTGGAGTTATGGAGACGAGGCAAATCGATACTTCTTCTCCCTCCCTTTCCTACTTGGCTTGTGCAGATGATGTTATTTGTCTTTCCAAGGATTTCCCCTTACTTACTGACGTTTTGAGATTGCTCTTGTAAAAACTATCCCGGCTCTCTCACTGTTACAGTCTTCAGCTTCATACCAGAACTGTTACTGGCATAATTACAGCTGAAACCAGAAGGAAATGAGCTGGCTCTATGCTTGCTACAGAGACAGAGGTCCTCACACAGAAACAGAAGCTATGAAAAGGCAAAGCTCTGCCGGGGAGCATGAGGTTATTGAATTGCAAGAAGTTAATGGGGAGGAAAGTACAGCTGATCATAAGAAGCCTCTAAATTCTTCAGAACCTGCAACGAGCAAGGTAGGAATTTCAGTTGCTCATCTGATGCTTGTGGAGCTCCCGGGGAAATACCACACAATGACAGAAGTGGTATTTTACAGAAACTTTATGTAGGGGTTGTTTAATTTGTTTGAGGGATGGGGAAAGGTTTCTGGCTTGAAAACAAAGACTGAAAGCGAGTAAAGTGTATTTATTTTATTTCACACGATGAAACATTCTAGTTTTGAAGTCAGATAATAGCATTATTATTTTTTGGTGCTGTCTGTGAGCTTTATCTTAGGAAATAAAAGTTGTAGTTGTACTTGGTATTCTAAGTTTTGCTTTCTGTTTTCATGTACTGCCAGTGGGATTGGGCTCAAAACTAGAAGGGAGAAATGTTGAAACACACTAAAAAACAGACTTTCTGAAGGAACAAATTAATCTGAAAACGGTGCTGCCAAAGAAAGAAAAAGAATGTCCTGCAGTAAAGTTTGTAAATCATGCTGAATTCTTCCTCTTTGATCTTGGAGCAATTTGTGGTTGCATTTGGGTATTTATACAAGAGCGCCCCAAAGCCTCAATTAAGAGTAGTGCGTGAGTCCTGGGGTAGCCAATGCCCAGCATTTAGCTTCAAGCTATGGGACAGACTAACGCTGCCAGACGAGCAGTATTTACTCATGAGTAGCTGTGATATAAAATTCTCATTACTTACTTAAGAGCAGAGGGAAAATCTGTGGCAGAAATTCCACATTTCTGCGTGGGCAGATCTTTTGAGATGGCTGAACCCACCTGAGATCTTGGCAGCATTAGTCATGCTGTCTCTTCCTTCATGCTCCTGGCCAAGTTTCCTTGTGTGAGCACCATTCATCGTTTTAGTGTTGATCTGTGCCATTAAATAAACAGCCTGATTTCCTGTACCATATAGGGGGCCATCTCCTTCTCCTCTGGTCCGGTGAGCTGAACCAGCCTGCTATAGGATCAGGCAACTTCTGCGGAGATTCAAAGAGAAATAGGAGAAAGGGTGGAGGAGAGAGGCTCAGCTTCCTTGAGAAACTGCCTTGAGTTTCTTTTCAGCCTTCCCCTTCCCAGAAATGTGTTTTTATCTGGGCTCTTTCTGTTGATTCTGGAATTTGATTTCCTATCCCATGAAGAATATTGGAAAATTATTATGCTCTGCTTCCTGTTCAGGCAGCAGATTAATCAGAATGGCCCTGTCCATTTGGGAGAGATTTTTTTTGTTGTTGCTTCTTCCTGGAGGTCTTGTGACGTTTATGGGCAGTGTCCAAGAGGGTGCTGGCCCAATTGATGAAACACCTTTGCAGAGCTGAATGTCTACTTGACTTCAATGCAGTTTGCAGAGCTTGATTAGCAATTAATCTTTTGTGATGGTCTGAATATGTGACTTGTATTCTAGGTGGGAGTTTGGGCTTGATAACAGTCTTGACTGATGATACAAAGCTGATGTCATTAGTGTAATGCTAGATAGTAGTTACCAATTTTTTTTTTTCAGATAGAAAAGTTATATACTAGTGTCAGGTATTAAACTGAAGGTTGTCTCTTCTAATGCATTTTTTTTTTTTTTTTAAATGAAAAAGAATCCCCATGTATATACATGACCACTTGAATGTGTGCTGTAAGAGAAACTATATTAAGCCAGTTGCTCTTCATCCCCCACAGAAACGAAGTTCTCCATGGGGAGGTGTCTATAGAGGACACTTTGTCTACCCCAGTTCCTGGAGAGCTCAGATAAGCTCTTTCTGGGGATGTTTGCTCTCTCCCCCTGTGCAACTGCTGTTCCAATTAAGTTTTAAGCCAGCTGGTGGATGCCAGTTCAATTCATTAAAAAGTTTTCCATTGTGCTAGGTTCTTAGAAAGTTCAGAAGGTGAAGGAAAGGAAACTAGATTAATGCTGCCAGCTAGCAGCTTGTTCCTGCCAATCTACCTATGTGTATCTCGGACAACCCATAACGTTTGCTTTGCCTCGTTTGGTGCCAAAGACAAAAAGACATGGAGTTCGTAGGTTTACAGTAGATGGGAGGAGGATAAATTAAAAGGAAAATATCCATTCATGCTCTTCATTCCATTTTCTGTCTGTGGAACAAATTAGTTGGCATTTATTTGTTTTATTATGTCACCTAAACTTGTTTTTTAATGTTAGTATAGCTGGGTTAGCTAATAACTTTGCTCTTAAATCTTAGAAAAGTTAAATGAAATGTATGTATTGTCTTTTCACTCCTACATGAACATGCATGCAAACACAATTTGTTTGAGGGTAATTTCCTTGTCATCCAGAACAAGTGAGATTTGTAATAATCTTTAAGTCTACTCAGTAGCCTCCCAGTATTCAATCTTCTGAAGAAAAAGGGAGTCAGCTTTAAAAGTCTTAATTACTCTAGTGTTTTTTTAAAGCAGTAATATCTAATGAATAGTATCTCACTTGCTTTGAGTGCTGGCATCCAGGAACTATGCAGGCTAACAGCATCAACATCACAGGGGTGAATTATTTTGCAAGTTCCTCCAGACACGTTTTTAGCTGGGAGACATGGCACGCTTTAAAAGAACAGCCTGTGGGACATGCACATCAAAATGAAGTAGTTGACAAAAATTGGAAGCAGTGAAAGAACCTTTGTAGCACCTCAGCTTTCTGAGCATTTCGAAAGTTGGAAACTGAACAAATGGGGAACACTACATCTCTCAGGTAGTAGCCTGCAGGTCTATCTTCTGTCTTGCACCAGTGCTTCAGGATGGGAACCCTCGATACAGAAAATTACTTACAACAAGACTCATTTATGTTGGGCTTTTTTTTGAGTGTGTTTCTATATGTGACCATAGAGACATGCTTTCATTTTCATTTCATTAATCAAAATTCATTAATCAAAATTCCTCATTTCATTAATCAAAATTTCCTTTCCTTTTTTAACTAGGGGAGAGATCAGTGGAAATCATGCAGGAAGATAATTTTCTGGAAGTGTAAACTATGGATGGTTTTAACTACAATTTTTGTTGTTTTGTTCCTGGTCATTCTCATCAGTCTAGCTCTATATTCTAGTAAGTACTCTTGGCTTGTTCTCTAATAAAAATGAGCAATATGTACAATCTAATAAAAATATTAATTGAACAGCAGCATCCAAAGTCCTGCTGAAAACTGCATAGGACACTTGGGTGCCAATTGCAGAAGGTAGTGTGCTGAACAGAATAGGTGGTGAAGGCTTTTAATTGAGCAAGAAACCAGTAACTTGCATCCTGATGGGATGGCAGCACTTGTAGCTAAGTGAGAGAGTATTACTAGAGTGAGAGCTAGCATAGAAATGAGGCTTGTAGCACTGCTGCAAGGGCAATGGATCATTCACCTCTCCTCATGTGATGTCTGTCAGGTTCCCAGTGCAGATGGTTGTCATTGTCATTGATGGGGTGGGTCACTGTTCTCTGGGTGCTGTCACTTTTCTTTAGGTGACTCATGCTTTCTTTCTGTCACTCCAACACAGTCATTACCTAGCAAGTTTGTGTGAAAGCCACCTTGGAGTGGAGTTTTCTCACCTTGGAGAAAACCAGGAGGTTGTTGCTTTTTCCTCAATAATTCTGCTAACTGGAACTTTTCCTACCCTTTCTATCTCCTTTTGGATACTAGATGTTTACACAGATGAAGATGATTATTGGTATACAGATGCACTGCTACAGAACTATCACAATTTTTCTGGAAAGTTCAACTTACTGTGTGGTCTTCCACACCTTTTCTCTGAAGACATTACTAAGAGGGTACGTGCTTCTTGGCAAAGCAAATTCTCCTTACATAGGTTCAGTGTTTTTCCTTTTAAGTGTTTTCTGTTTCTCTGTGTAGCAACTCAGCCGCTTATAAGTCCACATAACTTGTTAAATTCTGAGTTGTATTTTTGTAAAGAAAAACTGGCTGCTGTTAAGCACATAAACAATTGCATTTGCCAGGGAAGAGGAAAAAAAGCAAAAAAAAAAAAAAAAAAAAAAAAAGGCTGTTTTTTACAATTTTTTTTTTTACTTATTATTTGAGTAATAATTGAGACATGATCTTCACTTTTTCATTGAACCACTGAATTGCTTAGATAAGGAGAGGCCTGTAGAAGTCTTCTAGCCCAGTGTCAGATCTGCATTACATTCTCCTGTAAGTGCATAATGTCAGTCTGGATTTATATCTGCCATTTACACTGAGCCATTGCTGACTGAGCAGTGGCTGAAGTGAGGCATGGCCATACTGGCTTAGATGTACTGTGGAATGGGAGTCTCAGCTGGGACACCTTTCTCTCTGCCAAGTTAGAATAGAAGGGCTTTTTGCCACTAATAAGAACCTAAGCCAAACAACATAAATTGCTCTGGCAACAAGAGCACATACTTTTAGTTCACCCTGAATGCCTTCCTTTGTGCTAAGGTAATACAATAATCACTCAAACACACAGATTAACTTGTCTGTCAAGCTTAAATGGAATGTGTACCATTTCCAAGGCAGTTATTTGCAGATATTTGACCTTCAGCACCTGTGTTTATGGCCCTTAAAACACCTTTATAAGAATGATTCATTGTACTGTCTTTTGTGGGGAAGGTAGAAATTGAATGGAAGAAATACCTTATTTTTAAATTTATTTGTTTTCTTTTTAAGATAACAGATGTCTACAGCTCATCTCCAGCTCTAAGACGCTACTTTAGGTCTGCTAAAGTGGATTATGTCAGGTAAGCAATTTTTATTACCAAAATTATCAGAAATTTATGAACTTTGGGTGAGATGTGTACCTATGTAAATATGCATAACATTTAAATCTGTGAAAAATAGAACGTTTTGGGGAGAGTGATAAATATAGGTAGTGAAAACTTGACAAAGGATCCTCTGTTCTGGTGTAAAAGACAAGTCCTATTAGTAGTATATAATGACAGTAGCATTTTGTTACTGTTGAGTATCTTCTCTGCTGTCTTTGATTCCAAGTGCTGGCCATAATTAGCTTATTAAGAAGAAAATGAGCTACTGGAATCTATGATGGTTGGTTACAGATGAAGAGGAGCTCAGCTCATGGTTCCAGAGAAACAGTAGAGGTGGGAAGAAGGGGAAAAGAACTTAGGCTTGCCTTGCAGAGGCAGAAGAAAGGTTCTAACCGGAATACAGAGGAGATCTTACCCTCAGCAGAAACTGACACTGAAGGAAGGCTGAGGAGTTCACTGTGTTTTAGACACACATGTTTTAAGCTATGAAGATTCCACAGGAGAGAAACTAAGAAGTTGCAGGAAAAATGAGGCCGGAAGGCTCTGCTGTAGTGCAGTCCTCTCATGGAGAAGTAGCAGTGTGGCAAATGCAATTGATCCCAGAGGGCTTCTGAAAATGCAGTGTTGTAAAGTGGATGGGGAAAACAGGAGAACATCATGGGCAGAAGGTTAGCAAAAGCTCCAGATCCTTGAACTGGGCCAAGAAGCAGACCTGAGGGTGCTTTAGGGAATGTGTTCCTATGCACCACCAGCCATGGCTCACTGAGTGAGCTTTAGCTTCTTGGCCTTTTGGGCATACATAATGATTTAGATCAAGTACAAATCTGTAGTACTGTGTATGTACTAGCCAATCTGTGTCTCTGCCTCTTTTTCCCTGTGCAATTTCTTTTTTTGATATTCTAAATTGTTTGAATAACATGGAGCTGTCTATTTGTACTTAATGGAGTTGGTAGATCATAAATCTCCAGAGAGGGACTGTAGTTAACTTCATCTGTTCCAGAGCTCGGGCTAGAAGCACAGCTGGGTTGTGCCAGACTCTGCTATCAGGAGAGTAAGTTTTTCTGTAGGTGTTTAGCTAAGTTGTGTGCCAGATGTTGCAGCAGCTCTTCCCTTATCATTATATGTTTGTTAGGCACAAATGCCGAAAGCCTCATCCTCACATGTCTAATTGCCCTTTCTGCATTGGAAAACATGGCTCAGGTATGTGCCCAGTTTCTGTTAATGTCAAGAAGTACTTGGAGAAGAGAGGGGAAAAAAAGAAACAGGATGCTTAGGTGGCAAGTTTTATTTCTATTTTTTAAGATGCTTTTCTTTAGAAAAAATCTTAAAGAAGAAATCTGTGCCAACTTTGTGAGAATTCAGCCTCCTCAAGGAAGAAAGGATTCATTGGTGACTCACAGGCATTCATTCTTGGCTTTCTATTTTTCAGTAATGAAAGCTCCACTGTATTTTACCAACTAGAGTTCTTTGTACCGCCGTCAACAGAGGGGTTTATGGAGAATGTAATGAACCCAGACTTTATAAGGAATGTTCTACTTCAAAATATTTATGATGAAGAAGATACTTCTAATCCCGGGGCATCTGAATGTACCAGGTTAAAGCTTGACCCAGCTTCTCTCACATCAACATGTAAGTACTGTACTTTAGAGGGGCTGTTTACAAAGAGCACAATTATTTACTTGAAAAGAGGGAGATCTTTCTGCAAAGATGTTGAGATTTATTAGCTCATGTTTTGCACAACTTTGTTAAGGTAATTGTAAAATACTCTGTTTACAAGAAAGTCTTGTTGTACCTAGCTTATAAACCAGAATTCCTTATTTGGTCCTGTAATGAGAAATTGAGTAGTGATGAAGATGCTTAGCTACAGAATCCAACCAAATTCTTCTGATCCCCTCTTGCATTTAACGCACACAGTTAAAATCTCATGTATGTGTGTACCATAACAGGGGGCAAAAATAACTCCAGTTGGTTTTCCTCATTTTTAATTTGTATTTAAATGTTGATAAAACAAATTTAAATCCAATTGAAAAGGATTAGCAATTTGGGAGTGAACTTCTGATGAATTAACAGTCAACAATGAAAAGGGAAAGAATTTTTGGGAGAAATTTTCGTATACACAAAGATATCTTTTAAATGAACCAAATGTTCCAATTTCCAGATTTTCTAGTGAAAAGGCAGTGATTCCAGTGTATTTAGGTCTGCCTTTATTGAATTTAGGTCTGTCTTTATTGAAATATCAGTATAAAAGTCATATGAGCTTTGAAGTTTCACTGAAAATAGTTCAGGCAGCTGTTGTGTTGTGTTTTTTCCTGAATTTATTGAAACATACCTAAGTGCCTTCAGAATAATCCATAAGGTGATTATGGCACAAAGCCTCCTAAAGTTCAAGATATGTTTGGACAATGCTCTCAGACATGTAGCCTAATTTTTAGGTAGTTTTTTGGGGGTAGGGAGAGGAACAGGAGTTGGATTCAGTAATCCTTCTAATTCCCTCCCAGATTGGAATATTTACGAACCTGGACTAACACATCACAGAACATAATATATAAGTACAAGTAAGATTTGTGCTTAATTCATGAGATTACCAAGGAAGTAAAGAATGAAGGGACAAGAAAGTAACAAGTCATAAATTCTAATTCTAATATTATTTTATTCCTTATGTTGGTAATATTTAAAGAAAAAAAAACATACAAAAAATCCACTGTAATACTATAAAAGGGGCAGGAAAGAATACTCTGAAATATCTAACTAAAATTTAGTGTTAATAATGTGTTGTTTTTTATTTTCAGGAAAATAATGGACAGACTCCTCATCTTCCTTACCTCTTAGAAGAGGTGGTCTTCTACTGTCTATTAGTGATCTCAGGTTAGGGAGTCATTCAAAAGGTGGAAACACTTCTAAAGATGTTCTTTAAATGAAAATGTGGTATTGGTATGAGAGTGTCTTACTCCTAACACATTGCTACCTCCTTTATTTTTGTGTGGAATTATAGGTAGATCTTCAATCTTGTGAAACTAACATATTTTGTCTGAATAGGGCTCTGTTGGCTTCCAACCCCTCTGATTTTTCTTTTTTCTTTCTTTTTTTATTATGTTTTTAATGAATATGGATTACTTGAATGGTCTGCTAAGGCAAATGACTCATTCCTTCTGCTCTTGGCTTATAAAAAATTATCTGCACAATCTCATCCTTAATGCTTACATCTACCCGTGCTCATGTCTTTTCCTTTTCTTCTCTGCCACCTTCATCTGCCATATCTCCCCAGTGCTCTTTCCTCTCAAAACAATCGAACACTTACATATACTTTCTATTTTCAAAACTTTTGCACTTCCTTCTTAGGTGAATTAGTACTCACATCATCCTCTTGTTCATCCTATAGTCTTCCCAGAAAAGGTGGTGTCTGATCTGTTTTTCTCTTCTGTAATGTGGAATAGAAATGAAGAAGGAAGAAGCATTGGGAAGACTCTAATGCATCTGAATGCTGCAGCAATCTTTCAAATCTGTCAAATTAGCTGTGTACTTTGCTAATTAGCTACTGGTTCTTGTGAAAAGACATCCATTGGATTCACAGCTCTAAATTCAAAGGAAGATGAGTTTCTGCTCTACTTATACCTCCTGCTCTGGCAGTGATGGGGGGGGGAAAAAAAAAAAAAAAAAAAGAAAAGAAGAACCATAAGTAAACAGATGCAAAATACTTACTTTAGCAAGACAGTGACAGTTGTTCTTGATGACAAGAGATCATATGGGACAGACGAGTGTCAAGAGGAAGATGCTGAGGCAGATGGTGTAGGCCAGTGTAGCGTGAGAGTTACAGCCAGTAACTGACTATAACATGAAAGCTAAAAGTTAAGCATTAACTTCATGAATAATGTGATACTTCACTACCATGTTAGTGAAGTATAACTTTTTCTCACTTACAAACATTTTTAGCCAGTATAAATATTAGTGTTGTTGCACAGATAAATTTATTTTAAGGAATTTTTTGTATTGTGAAAAATATCCTAGGGAAAATAGTTTTTCTGTTTTTCTATTGTTACTAGTTTATTTAAAAAGTAAAGTGAAAACTCAACTATGCATTAAATTATTTATTTTTACTCTACAAGTGATCATTTTCTTTCTTTGGCATTCTTTCAGCATTTTGAGTTGAAAAATAGCAATGGGAATTCTGAATGGTGAGAGCAGTATGAAGGGTCTGTCTGCACTCAAATGATTGTTGTTGTAATTTTATCTGAGCTTGGGGTTGGGGAATGGTGTAGAGAAAATCAGGATGTCACTAAGCTCACATCTATGATTAATTCTGTCTCCATCCCAATTTGTAAAATGTAGCACTGGCTATAAGTACCGTAATTTCTCTTTTCTTGCCTCATTTGATGAAATGGTATGATTGTATATTTAAGGCTATTATTTCTATACATGTATCTAAAAAACATCAGCAACAACAAAAAGATATACAGATACACAAATGTTGTGCATTAACATAGTATGCAGCATACAATTAAAAGAAATACTCTTATTCTGGGGAAGGACAAAATTCATAGTTTGCATAGTTTATCCCAAAAGCAGAAGCTTATGGAAATGACAATGGCAAGAAAATAGTTTGCCTTTGAGATGCTGCTTGATATTATTGCTCTTACTGCTTAAGGTGACTGAATGTACCAACACTTCTTTATCTTGATTCTGTTTCAAAGAACAAAAAAATAATAATCACTTCTTTATGAAGACACTTCCATGTGCATTAAGAATTAAAGAGGAGAAACAAGAAGCTGCAAAGTATTCGTTTTTTCCCTGCTGTTCTCTGCTCCAGAACAGAGGCAGGCAATTTTACCCAGGCAATTCACAGGGAAGAATGCAGTGAAGTTGTAGCAAGATGTAGGACTGCTAAGATGATCAGAGAGCTGGAGCACCTCTCCTATGAAGAAAGGTTGAGGGAACTGGGCTTGTTTAGCTTGGAAAGGAGTAGGTTCTGGGGGACCTCATTGTGGCTTTCCAGTACTTGAAGGGAGCATATAAACAGGAGGGGGAACGGCTGTTTATGGGGGTGGATAGTGATAGGACAAGGGGGAATGGTTTTAAACTGAGACAGGAGGTTTAGGCTAGATATTTGGAAGAAGTTTTTCCCACAGAGGGTGTTGACACACTGGACCAGGTTGCCCAAGGAGGTTGTGGATGCCCCATCCCTGGAGGCATTCAAGGCCAGGCTGGATGTGGCTCTGGGCAGCCTGGTCTGCTGGTTGGTGACCCTGCACATAGCAGGGGGGTTGAAACCAGATGATCATTGTGGTCCTTTTCAACCCAGACCATTCTATGATTCCATGATTCAACAGAAAGTATCCAGCTTTACAGCATGTCTCCAGATGTACTTTGAACTCTAATTGAAGGAAATGCCAAAAAAAGACAGTCATATCTGGTTACCTCTTAGAGATAAATTGATAATACAAAAGAAAATAACCAGTGACATAATAAATACCGTATCCATTAGGATCAGAATAGTGTGAAAATATTTCATCAAGTTAGGTAATTTGGGTACCAAGAAAGATTTTATATCAGCAAAACTGCACAATACTTTTTTTCAAAATGTTTTAATACAAAAACAGAGGAAAAAAAAAAATACATGCGGTAGCAAGAACATTAGTACATAATCACTTTATGATCTCTGGTTAGCAGATGAATAACCAGTTTCAACCTGGACATGTGTGATCAGAAATGCTTCTTGCAGTAGGTCGATGGGCTGTGAAGAAGTTGTGCTCTGCCACTGCAGAGAGCCAAAACTGAGAGTTCAGTAGAAGAGAGCTGAAAGAGTTATGTGCCAGATGCAGCACCAGGGAATCCCTTGCTGAGAGGCATGCAGTTGCTGCCTGTGCAACTTTGGGATCTTCAGTGGTTTCATGGTCTTCCAGGTGGCAGTGGCTTGAAGTGCCTACATTTTTTATTTGTTTATTTATTGTGTGCAGTTTGTTGCGTTCTTCATTCTATCCAGCTTTGTTAAGACTTCACTCTCTGACAAGTAGTATTGCATTAAGGGTTGTTGAGGAGAACAACTAGAGAAATGATGCCTTTATCCAGGTTGTATCTTTGTGTGTATAGTGATATATATGAAGCAAGCCAGAGAAACTCTGGAAGAGCAAGATCACCTAGAACAAAGTTTATTATTATTTTTTTAAAAAAGGAGATGGTTATTATTATTGAATTTTTGATATTTCTATAATAAATTCTATTACATCCCTTAAAAAAAAGGCACTGTAAAAATCCTGAAAATCTGGAAAAATTATGAAGTCTCAATTGCTTCTAGCAAAAAGCACTCCATTTTCTATAGAGAAACATAAACATTGCTTTGCAATGGTAGCTACTGCTGATTCCTCTTGTTTTAATTGTTAAGTCCTGTATCCTCTCCATGCTTCTTTTTGTGATTGCTTTTTCAGATTTGTCTCATTGGGACTGACTGGAAGACATAAGCTTTTATAACATAACAGAGATTCTCTCCAGCTTGTTTGAAGAGCCAGCACAACAGATGGGATTACGAAGGCTGCGTGCTGCCAGCTTAAATATTCACGTAGCTCCCAGGAATGCCATCAGAGCAGAAAGGCTTCCTTTCTAATGGATCAGGACATAATCGTATGCATTCTGGTCTTCAGAGTAGGTGGTATATTGCTTGCTCCTAGGTATGTTGACAATTGCGTATTCTGTCTGAGTTTCAGTGTTAGCTAAATAGGATTCAGGTTTGACATTGTAGCTGACAGTAGAATACCACATTCCACTGGTATTCATAGAGCCTTTTTTGTCACTGTGTTCCTGAGAGCAGGGAGAGGGAGAGAGAAAGAGAGGTGAATTGGCTTCAGCATGGTAATACCCTCTTGCTGAAGAATCTTGCAGCACTCCTGCAGTAGTGTTAATGCTCGTATGTAATAATGAGAAGGGTTTGCAGACCTGCAGCTATTTCCCTTTTGTGTGGACCACAGCTGCACACAGGAGCATGCAGCAGCACATAACTGCTGCACAGCTGGATGGTGATGGCCTGACGTGTTCTGAGATTGATACTGCCTGCTGGTGGATTACGTAGGAAAACTTTCATCACACCATGCACATGGGAACACAGCGGCACATATAGGGGAGTCTGAATCATACTCTGCCCTGGCTGCACCCAGGGACTGGAACTATGAGTTAGCTGGCCCGTGTGCTTGGCTGCTGGTGCCTGGAGAGGTCCAAGTGCCAGCCACCAGCACAAGCTGGGCTCAGGAGTAGCACTTAAAGTGAGCATGGACATGTGGCTCCTGGAAGGGGCCCAAATATTGCAGGGGATGTAAGGACAGCTGCCCTCTGCCTGGTGGCCCTCTTCTAGCACGTTCCTTGGAACCAGAGAGGGAATTATTGATGAATGAGAAGGTAACATTGCATGAGTAGCTGCCTTCCCAAACCTGTTGAAACTTGCCCACTCTTTAACTCCTGTGCATGCCTGCTAATGTGTTTTGGGTGTTTCCAGGTAGGCAGAAGGATGACTCATTAAATCCAAAAGAATGCAGTGAACTGGATCCAGAAGTTAAAAATTTACTTGCCCTGATGCATGATTTGAATTCACAGAGTAATAAAGCTAGCAAGTAAATACAGCTTTTCTGGTGGCATTCACTGCTGTCTGGTGCATTAGCAGTATGTTTAAGTGAATTTTGCTGTGATCATGCTGACATTTGTAGCAGAGCTACTTTTGTGTTCTGTAAGTGGAACAAAGGTATCTGTTGCATGAGTTATTAAACCCAAGCGGTTATCTTTTGTTTTTCAAATCTAGGTTTGA